TTATGTCAAAATTTATGATTTTTTTATGAGGTTATTACAAGAATACTGCAACATATGCATGTAGTAAAGTGATCATATAAATTGACCCATAACGGTGGTTGATACAATCCCTGTACTCTCTGGATGCATGCTTTGCATTATTCTTGTGATAACCTTATTATTATACACCTGTTTCATGCTTGTAGTATTACTTTAATGATAGATATCAGTCCAAAATAGCAATGAAGAATGTTTTGCTATGTGCGAACGTTCAGTTTCAGTTCAGTATTTTCATCGCCTACTGAATGATAGCGCTGCAATAAGCAATAGAAAGTGTTCAAATGAGATATTAACATGACAGACTATTTCTAAATAAAGAATAATTCAAACAGTTCGTAACACTTTCAAACACATCTGTACGTCATTCTACAGAGAGGTAAATTCTATGTTTTTGGTGATGTATAATAATGTCCTTGGACAATAACAATAGAGCCCTGAATTCAACAATACACCCTTATGAATATCTATTCCCGTAATGTACATTCCCAGAAGGCAAAAATCACTTGTAGTATTACATCTCTTACATCACTTGTATATTCTTCCAGTCCATTAAAGAAAATATTGGGGAATAAAATACACAACTAAATTAGTTTCTAGTGGCAAATTTTGATATTGAAATGAAATATTTTGAATCAGGTACATGTAGCTTTGGCAAACTTATTTACTAAGACAACCAGAAAATTCATCGCATTATTGATGCCAAAAACTAGAGAAAACTATGCCAGCATTCTACTCCTTTTACACAACAACAGATAGGATCTATACAACACTAATTTCACACATTTTATAGCATGGCAGTGTTGAAAGATGTATGCAATTTGAATACAAAAACACAATCCACGAATTCACAGATGTTATCAAAAGAGAAAATGGCAGATCGTATGGAAGTACAGGAAGGTGTGAAAAACTAAAACTTTCTTGCCAAAAAAGAAATAGGAAATAGGACAAATATCTCCTTGTACATATTCATATGGTTTGTTTGGGATCTACAAAGATTTGCAATACCAAGAAAATCACGGGTTTTCAAATTCTTACTACTAACTTGTACCCTTCTCAGTATTAACATAAAACCGTTACATTATTCTTATAATTTACATGTTACAGACTGATTTATCATATATAGAACAGGAAGCAGAGCTAATTAAAGACAGGTAAGTTACATGTGGAATAATCATGACACTATACCTACATTATGTCTGTAATCTAATGTCATGCTATATGTATAACTGAGTCCGGCAAAGTGTCAAAGCCTCACTGAATTGTGGGCTCTCTCAATTATCCATCACAAATTTCTTTTTAGTGTTAAAGGGTCGGTGGTTGTTTGAATTTCCGGTAATGAATTTGATGAATTTGACATGAATTAGTCAATGA